CACCCACACCCACACCCACACCCACACCCACACCCACACCCACACCCTCACTCATATTATCTCTTTCTTCCATTAAATGTTGAATTAAAGTTTTCATCGATGAAGTTGAATTTGTTAATGATGACGATCGTGCATGTACAAATGATTGTACATTTAATGTTCGACAACCTAAACGTTTAAGAAATTCAGCTGATACAGAATTTTCTATTATTGATTGTTTATCATCATCCTCGGTTAAATTTAATGTTATAATTGGTAAATCTGATGATAAAATTAATGATGGAATATATGATTGATTAGGAATTTTCATTCCTTGATTTATTAGTATACATGTTATTGTTGATAATGTTGTTTTTAATTTATTCCATTCTGTTTTATTTAACTGTCCAGAATATTTTGAAATAATATGTAATAAACACTTTGATGTATTTTCTTTTGTAAATAAATATAATTGATTTTGAAGTAAATAATAATGAAGAAAATCTTTTAATGTTAATGGTGTTAATAATAATTGTTTTTCTAATTCTTCTCGTGATAAATAAGTAGTTATACTTGTTGATAAAACATATGATGGTATTGAAAGTATTGATGATATATTAAAATTATCATAATTTTTTATTTGTTCTAATCTGATTATTGATGAATTATTTGTTTCACGAAAACGTACTATTGATAATACATATTTTATATATTGTTTATCAATATTATTTTGACTAAATAACCAATGAAGAAATTCAATAAATTGATTTGATAAAAGTATTGTTGTTGTTATTATCGATTCAATTAATTTATTATCAATTTCAATAATTAAATTACGATCTTTTAATATTTGAAATAAACTATTTTGACTTAATTCATATGGTACAAGTGGTAATGAAAGAAATGAATGAATATATTTAGAGTTTCGTGTAGTGGCGGAGCCAGGATTTTGAGCCGGGAGGGGTTCAGCCCCCTCTGAGGGACCTGTAAGTCCCGGTTGGCCAATAAAATACATAGTCTAAAAATTTTCCTGGGAGGGGCTCAAAGGTTTCTGCGGGGAGGTTGAGCCCCCCAGCCCACCCCTGGCTCCGCCACTAATTTCGTGCTATATATGCTTGTGTTAATGGAATAAGTAAAAGATTATTATCTGTTGGAGATCGTTTAACAGGAACAAGTAAATCTTTATTAGAAGAAAGAAATCCATCGACAAGAATCGAACCTGAAAAAAAACAAAAACTTTAGTATTTTGTTGAAAGAGATTTCTTTTCTTTTTTTTTTTACCGATTTCGTTATTTGGTACAGATTGTTGAAATGAATAAGAAGCAAATATAGACTCGAATTGTTTATTATCAAGTATTAATTGATCAAAAATAGATCTTACTGTTTGCCCAATAGATGAAAGAAGTTCTCTATTCCATTTTGTTATATATGGATCTTGTAAATCAAGATTTTCACGTTCAATTGTTGGAATTAAATGACTATAAACATGCATTCCTATTCCAGTTGTTTGATGTGTTCCAAGATCAATAAAAGTTAAACCTGATGGAAAAATTTTGGGTAATTCCGTGGGGTTTATACCACTTTGGTGGAAGTGATCTCC